GATTAATTGTAATGTTTTGAATGTTTCTCAGTTTTCTCTTTACGTACAAGTTTCATGGCAACAAGGAATCGACTGGCACAGTGGCACCGGTGTTCAATGTTTGTCTTTTGCAATGTATACAACATTACTGTATTGTATACACATGCTGACCTTACTTGCCGTCGGCGCAAAACGAGATGCGATTGAGTCGGGCAGCGGCACGCGAGTCGCATTATAATTATTTCTCAAAACGCGTTTGCGACAAATAATGAAAGATGTCAACGACATCATTAATGAATATTAACGACTTCAATAATATATGGAACCAATACAGTTAATTATTCGTATACAAATATCATATTTTAAAGCGTGACAATTTAAATATATATTAAAAATTCCGAGTATACAATAAAGGATATAAATTATAAATTATTAATGCGATACGAGCAATTTACAAATAATATTCGAGCAATTTACAAAACTTTCTTTCTAGACCACAAACGCGATCAAGTAATACTTATAGATTTTTGGTCGTTGAAAATGATTCTGATATAAAACTATAAAAATATAATTATTACTATTAATATTATAGTAGTAATAACTATAAATGGAGTTCCTAACCATAATTATTTTATCATATAATTATAATCACAAGTACGAAACAGTGTATACATATCATACTGATAAGTTTAAAATTATTTTTTATTTTGACTTGACATAAATTGTTTATACTTTGAAGTATTTAAAAAATATTTTGATATTGCATCTCATCTCACGAAGGATATGTTTTTAGAGACAATTTTCCAGTGGTTAGTATGGCGTGGACGCTCATGGAAGCGACAATCTCAGTAATTATTTGATAGCATATCTAGCGACGCATTTGAAAGTGCACCTTGAAAGGCTCGCTACATGTTTTCAAACAGAAAAGATATTAATATGAATCGCCACTGTTGTGGTAACATTTAATTTCCAGCAACTAAAAGCAAAAATTTCACGATATAAAGCTAAGAAATTTTCATCTCTCTTTCATTTTTCTTTTAAAAATGTTTTGGCCGTATCATTATTAGCTAAAAGTATCAGCCAAAAAAATCCAAAAAATCAGTAAACTCTATACTCTATAATATATACTAATACGCGTTTTTCCTACATTAAATTATAATAAATTATAAAAAACAACAACTCAACAGAGAAGAGGGAGGCAAACAAATACTTTCTAGCTCTTTCCTGCAAAAGCATTAGTCAATCAGAGAGCCTGACAAAAAAGACAGCATAATCTTTCTAACATCAAAATGTTATTGTGTAAAAATTGAAATACCTTTTCCTTGACGTGCAAATATATATTATAAAGCTTACTGAAAAAAATGAATTAAAAAAGCTAGTATCAGAGCCTTATATCAGTCAAAAAATTTTAGTCATAAATGTGTTCTGAACCAATTACAAAAAATAAAATAACAAATAATTTGATTTATAATGACTTATAAAGCGCAATGTAATCATAATTTTCTACATTTTTATATAAATAATTTTTAAATAAATAGGGTAAAACCAAAAGTACACACCGCTTATATAAGAATACGCATTAAGCTTTACGACGCAATTATTAGATCATAGCAGCTGTACTCATACAAAACATGCCTCTTTGGTTAATCAATTTATATATCAAAAGTTCTTTAAATACATCTTTGCGAGAAAGCATCGTAACAATTTTTTTAAAAAGCTTAAATTTTAAGCTTTATTAAAGCTTAAAAAGTCTATTTTAAAATGCTAATCGGTTAAATTTTGTTCGATCCATTGTTTCCATCCAGGTAGAGCACTTACAAAAATAACAAAAATACTGAAAAAAATGTCAATTTCCAATTTTATATAATTTAGGAGGAAAATATATTATATATATCATAGAGACAAAATTCAAATGCCCGATTTTGAAACTGTATTCTTTTTCTTCAAAATACATTTTAAAAAACTTGTCTATAATTTCACCGAGATATTTACGTTTTTGTGAAATGCGAAAAAATTGCAAACGATCTCGAATATATGAACGGAAGTATATATTACAAAAAGTAAAAAAAATTTTTAAAAAGTCAGATAATCAAAAGATTGTTTATGATAAAGTTTGAGCATATAAAGATATAAGTATGTTCAAGTCTTTTCGCAAACAATCTTTTAATTACTCGATTATGTTAATTTTTTTTTTTCATAAACAGCGTAAGTTTTTACCGAAATATATTAAAGAGAGCATATGAAACCAATAGCAAAATATGACAGTATTTCATCACAAATTATCAATATAATTTAGTCAATAATAATTAAATTAGCGCGGCACACGCTCTCTCTCTCTCTCTCTCTCTCTCTCTCTCTCCTTTCTCTCCCTCCCTATCTCTCTCTCTCTCTCATCACGAAAAATCTAATAATTATTCATTTGCAATTGGCACATAAATTCTATTTATTTTATATTTACTAACATTATAACCTTCCTGAAATATATATTGTATTCTCATGTTCTTATTTGCATTTTATAATAAAGCAATGATAATAATGTAATAATTTCTACAATGTTCAAAAGTTTCCATTTATTAATTTTCAGGCAGTAAATTATTGTACCTATAATACACTAGAACGCCTGATAGCTTATACACGTGATGTGATGACAACACAATAAGACCTGTTAAAAATGATATTGCGCTGATTGCACGTTGTTAAATTAAATTTTTTTCCATTTGCCATTGTCTCTCTCACGAGAATAGGACAAACTGATGCTCTTATCATAAATGAGATGAGTATAGACGATATATAGCGGTGCAGACACCCACACGACGACGTTCATACATTAAAAGGTCAAGCACGTTTGTTCTTCCACATTGAATTTCGCTAATGGTGCCGCTGACGTTAGTCACGCCAACTGTAAACATATTCTACGTAATTCGCATGTGCGTAATAACTTCGACATACGCCAATATTTGCATTGGCGTCTGTCAAAGTTATTATCCGTAGGTATCTATTTTCATATAATGAGAAAAGGATTTCAGCACATTCTATTGGGTTGTCCGGAAAGTTCGTGCCGATTTTATACAATAGTTTAACTCATAATTTGTATTGTGTGTTATGTTGAAAAAAGATATTTAAAAACATCATATTTAAAAAGGTATTTGAAAAAATTAATTATTAAAATAATCCCACAATAAAATAAGATAAATCTGATGCTTAAAATGATTCGAATTTAACTCTTGGAATTAATTACAATCTAAGATTGTTATAATTATAAATGTAAATGATTGATGAAATATTCTATACACTATAGATACTATACACAGCACCATTGTGCACCATTTGCCTCATTTCGATAAACAACAATCTAGTTACTGCTTTTATGATTCAAACTACGTTGTAGTTAAGCCTCCTCATAATATGTTATTTCAATACTTCAGTTATGTGTTCGTGGAGTGTCGTATGTTTCACAAATAGCTTTGAATTCAGATAAATACTCGATCGATTTGTATTGTTTGCAAAATTATAATTAATTACAGTCTGCACTTAGTTTAATGATACATACACTATTCAAAGCCATACTCGGACATTAACTAGTCGTCACTTGTTTAAACAAATTTGATTATACTTATTTTAAAATTCATCAAATTTTTTTCTAATAAATCTTTTAACAATACTTCTCTCTATTTATATATTTATAGAATTTAAAGCTAATTTATAATTAAAATTCACACATTTCAACAATTAATAACTTAAATTATTTTTTTTATAACATTTAACGGATGTGTTATATCTCATTATAAATGATTCAACAAAATTTATAAATATCAGTAATGTAAATAATAAGAAGATATTATGTATCACACAGAATGTATTTATATCTCGCAATTAATTTTAAACAATTAAGAAATGTTAAAATTCGTTCCTTCTATAAGACGCCAACTGTGATAGAAAATGTTAAAAGTAAGTTCTATTTTAAAGATATTGGAACAATGATAGTTGTTCTTAAATGTCAAAACGTTTCCAAGTCGAAAGAGAAGCGCTTTGTTGTGAATCATATTAACACAAGAATCTCAGTCTGAAATTAATACATTCATTACATTCGCAGCATGTATACGTTATGAGATGAGGAAATATGTAGCTATAATTATACGATGACTGCGTGATTCGGGATGAATACGATTCGCGCAATTACCACACGACCAACACATACTTGTAACAAGTGCAAACCTAATTGTGGCATTCGCACGACGTTACACGACATAAATTACTATCGTTGTAATTTCGCGTATACAATACCAGTAAATCTGTAGGCAACATATAATATGTGGGTAGTGCTGTGAGATCTACCAAGTGATATCATTGAAACAGATCGTTC